CCTTTCCCCCTGGCCTATATTATACCCAATTTTAGGTTAGCATGGGTGGGGTGGAAGTGGCATGCTCCACCATGGAGGTCCCTAGCATGGTCTGCAAGCCATGTAGACATGCCCTCAGAGCAACAGTGTCTCCTGCTGAATCACCAATGTCCCTGTGTTCAGCAGCCTGAGGTTTATGGTAACTCTCCCATTCAAGTTCACAGTCAGTCAGGATAACTCTAGGCCAGTTGTGGCATCTAACAAGAGTGCTGCCTGAATAAAAGGGGATGGTTGTGCACGTACACTTTTGCTAGTTCACAACAACCAACCATTACATTTTATTTCCAAAAAGTTACAAAGGAATCAACTGATTAATAAGTGTTCATACAACTGAATAAGTCCATAAGAACTTATGTTCTTAAAAAGCAGGTGATACCAGCATGCAGCATCTGGGGAAACAACCTTACGAGTGAGAAAACTACTAGCCCCTGCTTGGCTTGACAACTTATCAGGGTATTGCTCTGGTAATGTTAATCTACATACCCTTCCTTACACGTATATGTGACTCTGTTGCCAAAAGTGAAGTTATTCCCATTGATGGTGGCATCTTTAATGGGAGGAGGGGAGCCACAAGAGATGATATTGCAGGTGGGAGGTTTGCTGTTCCAGTGACCTGAAGCTTCACACACAAGTACTGAGGGACCCTGCAGACTAAGAAAAATGAAGGTAATTAGTAGGCTATAACTTTAGCATGGATGCTGGCAAGCAGAAGCAAGGTGCTCTTTGTGGTTACCTTCTGTGTGAAATCCTGAACCCAGAGAAGTCCAGGGAAGTTGAGGGTATAAACAGATTTTCTCAAATGAAGCAAATCAGCTATGCTGGCGTGTGCCCTGCCACTGCTGATTGGCTTTATTGGGCAAAACACAAATTGCCTGTTGTCCCGTGAAACAATGGGAGACATGTTCCCTACTTACAGACACATCCTTGGGAATCTCTGGGACACGTCTCTGCAAGTGGGGAAAGCCAGCTCCAGTGCAGTCTCAAGACTACATCCCAGTGTTGAACCCCAGGGCTGGGGGGGACCAGGGCTGAGACCGTCAGTCAGCTGGATTGTCAACTGCAATCCTGGAACTACACTGTAGCCTTGAACTGGCTCTGGGGCAGTCCTGGGGCTGAGAGTGACAATCAGCTGATTGGTAGTCCTTGCTGCAGGATTATGCTGGAGTGTCAGTGGGTACCTGGGGAGTCCTAAATGGGGGAACTTGGGCAGGTACTCTCAGGTCATGAGGGGCCCAATCCTTTGAGCTGGTGTAGGGCTGTGTAGGATCAGGCCCTTGAAGCCTAGAACTGCCTGCCCAGGGCAGCTGGAGAGAGTGGGCAGCTCTGGGATGATCATGTTCTCCTGCTATAAACCAAATAGACATCTGCTGCAGTTAAATGGAATTTTGGGAATTTGGGTTTGTTTGCTTGGCTTTTGTGCCACTGTAAACATTTTCATAGCGGCACAAAGCAACATCTGTTTCCACCCTTAGCCAGTAACTTCAGCGAGGCCAGAATTCTACTTTTCTATTCACAAAAAACACTGCTAACCCTACCAGCAGTAAGCGGCAATCAGAAATATTTCAGGAGCAGCTTGACAGAATACATTCACTGTACCAAGGGATCTATTTTGTAGCCATGTTGGTCTGAGACAAGAGGAATACAAAACTTTAAAACTCTTGGTTCAGCAGTAATACCTTTCATTAGACCAGCTAGAAAACAGCAATTTTTTTTATTTCTTTGCAAGCTTTTGAGCACATGTGCCCTTCTTTTGGTGAGGAAAAATCAAAGATTGTAAAAGTCCCCTTGGGTATCTGACGCCTCCAGGTATGAGACCAGCCTTATCTGCACATCAAAGAGCAACTTGCACAGAGGAACTCTCAAGGACCCAGGGAAATACATGTCCAACTTCATTCAGCTTTCCCTGTGCAAAATGAAGTTTATTTTCTACTTAAGGGCTTTTACAATCTTTGATTTCTGCTCAGCCAGAAGACAGGGTGTGTGTGCCCAAAAGCTTGCAAAGAAAGAAATACTTTTTCCTACTTTTTAGCTGGTCTGATAAAAGGTATCACCTCTGAACTATGAGTTTTAGAGTTTTGTATTCTTCACTGTACCAATGCTTAAAAAACTGCCAAAGCAAATGCAAGTTTTGTTCACAAAAAGACTGCAAGAGTGTGCCCTCGGCATTTGAACCTGGAGATCTTTTTATATGCCACCAGCATCAGAATGTCCACAAAGCTTCATGCTGGGTGAGGAGCTAAGGTAGAGGTTGACTAATCTTTTCATCTTGTTACCTATAGTAATGCCAAACACAAACTATTATTAAATCTGTGAGAGCTCCTCTACCCTCTCTGGAACATGCAGCCCCTTCAAGTGAGTTATTGGGTGCTGCCAAGAGGGTGTACTGTAAACCAGTTTGGGGTACACTGGTGTGAAAAGGGACATGAGGAGTGGTTAGGTAAGAGATTACATCTATCATTATATGGATCTAGAGACCCTGAAGAAAAGGATATGGCATAATGGATCACTGGCTTGAGTGGTGGCCAGACAAGAGGATGGTGGATTTTACCTCTCAAACACCTAGTTTAGGCTTTATATAAAAATAATTAATTCCCCTTCTCTACAAAAGCACCTTCAAAATACTTCCATGGTACTCATTTAAAATTGAACTGGCCTTTGTAACTGTAATGGCCTTTTTCATGGAATGGATTCTGTGTATGAGAGAAACCACTAGCTACACAACCTGTTTGGCCTGACTAAGCAGTCACAGACAAAACTTCCATTCACCCCAGTGAGGTTTATGTGTAACTTAGGAGTGGAAGACCAAGCTCTTACTATATATGCATGGCATGGTTCTACCCTGTCCTGTAGCTTCACATTAAATGTGAGCAGAAAGCTGTATTTAAGCTCTATCATCTTACACCACTGATGTCACTTACACCTATTTGCTCACGTTTTACAAAATGTAAATGACTGCACCAGGGGACACTGTGTAAGGGGAAAAACAGCCCTGAGTATATATATATGTAAGCGTACAAGATATTTTGCATATGACTATGATAGACAGATATTAAGGATTGGAAATTATGCTTAAGGCTATTTCTTTTTTTTTTCTATTTATTCATTTTAACTGGTTTCCCAAATATTCGTTTATGCCATGCTTGAGCAATATATTTAAGGCAAAACAAAAACATCAGATGAGTCTTTACTGCACAGCTTTGTTCATTTATTAAAATGGCTTTGTAGGACACTTTAAGCTAGAGGTGACCAATTATGGCACATGTGCCACAAGTAGCGCAGGCAGTCTGTGTGGCATGTGGCAGATCAGAGTGGGGACAGGCAACATGGTGCAGACAGGTAAGGAAGCAGAAAGCAGAGCAACAGAGTGGAAATGGGAAGGGCATCAGAATGGCACTCAGGGAGGACGCAGGGCTAATTTATAGCACTGCTGTCAAAAAGGTTGACCCCAACACTGCTTTAAACTATAGAAGTTCCTTCTGTCAGCAGCTTAAGAGCACAACAAAAATCATCTTGTGTGAGCAGTGAAATGTAATTAAGGACACAGCAACCAGTAAGGGTAAATAAAAACTCTGGGTTAATATCCAAATGTCAGAAAAATGTGTTAGAGCTTGTTATAGAGAGAACATAATAAATATTAATGAAACATCTGATAATTCTTTTCCAGACTCTGTTGGGATTTTGTATAAAACATGGAAAGTATCTCAAATCCTTAAGTATTTTGCTTTATTGAGAATTCATAAGTTTCATCCCACATGTGACTTTGCAGTAACAATTTGTGTTTAACGCACTCTCCTTTCTCAGGGTATAACTTGGTTATTTTGCCACTTTTACCTGTATCCACTGTGACATGTGTAGGATGCAGTAGAAAGGTATGTTGTGCCAGCCAGCACATATTTTCCATTGTTTATGTCCTGTGGACTGGGACATGTTACTATTTTACAAGAGGGAGAAGAACGACTCCAAGCACCATGAGCCAGGCACAATGTTTCTTTTTCACCCACTAGATTATATCCTACATTACATCTGTAAAAAAAGAACAAAAAATCACTAACACATACATACATTTTATTTGCTTAGGACTCTGCTTAACTAACACTTTCCTTGCTCCATTGCCTGCCCCCTGGCACTGAAAAGTTCATAGGGTTAGTGCTGGGGATAGAACTTTATTGGTCAAGAGTCCAATTTTCATCAGTTTTATGTAAACCAAAAGGTATGGCTCTAACTTAAACTTTCTCAGAAATGTAAGGTGGTGTTCATAGGCCTACAATTTGTTTATGCTGTAAGTATAGTAACTCCCCTATACTCCAGTGAACATCTAGATGGCCCCCTATGAGCCCCTTCTTAATAGATTTTTTAAATTTAGACAGTTGGGAGTCAAAGTGACATAGTTTTCCAATAAGAGGCTCCTAAGTATCTAAGTCACTTTTGTAAAAGGGATTCAGGAGCTTATTTCATTTAGATGCTTCTGAAAATTTTACCTCTCGTAGGCAATTTTTCTGAATGACATGCAAAGGAAAAGAACACAGGGAAACCTAATGGCTTCAGCCGTTTAACTAATGCATTCTTTGCATATGTCCTCAAAACCCCACACCACTGATAGGATAGAATTATACCCTTATAGGCAGTAGGGACATAACAGTTCTTAAACTAATATGGTGATTTTCATTTGGTATTGCACAATGACCAACAAGGAGCATTCGCTGAAAAAATTACCCCATTGTGTCACTGGGAAAATGGAACACTTTACATTGACTCTAATTCAGACATTTTTCACAATTTGACAATATCTTCAGTTTTGGTACCCAAATCTACATGGTTAGCATCCTGATTTTACAGCAGTATGCTAGACACCCTTAACCATACAGCATTTCCCACTCTACAGTGATTTCTGTATTATGATACCTTTTATCTTGTGAATTTGAATTCTTTTTCAAACTCTGTTTTTGCAGTGATGCCTATAAAATAGTTGGAAATCACTGGGCAGCTGATGCATTGAGACTGCTGCCTATCACACTGACATATATGGTCTCCTTGTCTCTTGCGTGCTCCCTTTCTACGTTTGTCCATATCCCTCTCTTGTGTGTTGCCTTGCATTATAAAGCTTTTGGGGCAGTGACCTTTCCTGTGCTGTATCTATAAACGATTCAGCAACATGAAATTCTGGCATGGGAATAGGTTTACAAGACATTGCCACATATAACTAAATAAATAAATATGAGAAAGACACTGAAACAACTTTATGTTGCTGAAATGTTGAGTATACAGCCTCTACATAGTCTATAACAGTGCAATATCTATTTCCTAACTTCTGTATTATAAAAAAAAATGTGTTATTGAACACTTTTGTGAAATCCACAAAAGTGTGAATGGGAGAGTTTGTGAGTAGAGTCCACTCTTTGTTCCTTTACTTTTTTCCCCATCAGCGCAGTTCAGTTTTTCTCCTATTCAAATCAGTTTTAAATCCAGTTTATATTTTTTTCTCAATTATATTTTTTCCATTATTTTTTCTAATTTGCCGCGAGACTGCTAATTATTAGTGTATTGCTCCAAACACAGTTAAGTCTACCTACCTGTATAGAACTTTACTGCCATAAGTAAAATTTGAGCCCTCAATAGCACCATTCTTTGGAATAATGGGCCTCCCACAGGATATGGCTTGAAAGAGATAAAATCAAAGATGTGTATTTAGAGAGACATCAAGGATCTTTTCAGACAGAAACATTCAATTCGCCACAAAAAATGGGTGCTAGCCTCACATTCATAGGTGCTTTCACTGAGGTCAGAGGAGGTTCTTGCCTGGGTAAAGAGTGCAATTTTCCTTTCAGTGGCAACTGACTTTGCTGTAGTGCTACTCATAAATTCTTGGACATATCATATTTTCTTTCAAGTTATGTCTTTATTGTAATATAAGAAGCAATATATATGTATACATATAGATGCATACTCACACAATATTTGGCATCAAATTTAATTGGTTAGTATCCTTTAAAATAAAAGCATTTCCAAACAATATTTCAAAAATGCTTAGCCTTAGGACATGTTGAAGCAGAGGAGGACAAGGTTGCAGATACTTTCTGTCACTCAAGAGATGCCTTAGGTCATGGTGAAACACTGATAGAAAAACCTTGTACTGGAAGGCCACTGGACAATAGAATTATCAGGGGTGCTACGGGGGCTTGGGTCAAAACAGGTGAAAAAGTGTTCAGGGCTCCGTTTTGGATAAGGAGGTTGATGCAGGTTTTCTGGGGACATGGCCCACTTTCAGCACATCAAGAATTTTGATTATTTTGAGATGCAGAACTGCGATTGTACTGTAATCCCTGGGCCTGGTGTGGAGGGGACTCCTCCCATAGTTAATCCTTCTCTATAAAGAAAACCATTTAGATCCCTTCTTTGCCTCCACTATATTGTAATACCTATTGTCCAGTTGCTTTTTATATCTGGTGGGTCTAATGATGCACACCACAATAAACATACAGCATACTACCTTCACAATAGGGTATCATGTGGCTCCACACTCCAGTTGCCAAACACCTGACTCTACTTAGTCCTCTCAGTTGGAAACCTTCCTCACAGGAGAAAGTAACTTCACCCCCAACACTGTAATCTTCTCCATAAGAATGACCATTTTTGGGATTTTCTGGATTCTTGCATTTTACTGGCTCTGAGGAGGCAGACATGAATTAATAGCAGGTTTCATGGCTTCACTGTCCATTAGTGCATGCGTGTCAAACTGGTTTGGCCCCCTGGGATGGATCTGAATTACTGGGCTTCTTGTGGGCTGGATCCAGATTGTAGGACTTCACAGCTGGATCCAGACTTATCTCTCATGATGGGACAAGCATTGTCACCTGAATTCATATTCTCAGCCAACTCCAAATACATTTTTCACTTGAGAGGCAGCAGTATAGTCCAGTATGTAAGGCAAGGGACTGCAAGTCAGGTGAGCTATTTCTAGCTCTGACAAAGTCTTACCATTTGTGCATGCATGTGCTAGGTCAAAATTTGGAAATTCAGCAAAGGTTAGTTGTCTACACTGTCAGGTGCCTACACTGAAGTATTCTTTCTATGGACGTTTCAAAGTGCAGTTCTTCTACCCTGAAGAGCGATGCTATAAACACAACAATGAGGTTTTCAAGTTCCAGAGTCAATACACTCAACTGCGAGAAAAAGGTATCTCTTCTAACTGTCCTCACTGCATCCAAATGAAGTGCTTATTCCTCAAAAAGCAAGTACATCTTGTTTCCCATCTCCAGGTAGATTAAAAGCTTATTCCCTTACCTTTGCACTTTTTACCATCTCCTGTATAGGGAGGGATGCAAGTACATACATAGGAGCCATTTGTATTAAGGCAAGAAGCATGCTCATCACAGTCTGAGCCAACAGCACATTCATCGACATCTGGAAAAATAAATGTTTCTAGAGTAAATAACTGTAATAAACATCGGCTCTAAATTTACATTGCTCTAAATATCTGGCGAAATCATTTAAAATGGTATCAGTAAAAGCCTACCATTAGTGCTTCTTTGACAAACTATAACAACCAACATAAACATAGAACAAAAAAAAATGTAATGCCTGTGGTTGAGCAAAATATTTTATTTAATATAAAATAAAATATAGAAAATATGCTGGAAAAATAGAAAAGGTCCTTTACTCCCTATGCGGCACATGCTCTGTTCAGTCTTGTTATGCCAGTCATTTTGATTTCAGGAGGGTAAATGAACTGGAAATTTAATTCATGCTGAGAAGGAAGAGTTTTGTAATAGTTTGGGCAAAGACTTTCCCTTTGTCTGGAAAGCTCTTCCTGTCTTAGCTGTCCTGTCTATCACAAGGGTAAGACAGCTTAGCATGGAGGGCAAAGTACAGAAAGTTACTACATTACAAGATGGCTGAGATGTATAGAGTTGTTAGAGATTCAAATGAGATCAAAAGGCAATATTAAAGGTAATTATGTGTATGATGATAGTGGCTATGACCCTCAATCAGTGATCAAGACCCCACTGTGCGAGGTGTTGTACTAACATATATAGAGAAAAAAAAAAGACAGTGCCTTTTCCAGCTTCCTTCATTTCAAATTTTGGTTTTCTGCACTACAGCAGGGGTTGTCAACCAGGGGTACGTGTACCTATAGGGGTACTTGGAAAGGTGATAGGGGGTACACACAAGCAGTAGGGGATGGAACAAGGCGGCAGGGAAGCAAGGGCAGTGGCATCCCTCTGTGGATGGATGTGGGGCAGGGGGGCTCATACAAGGCGGCCAACAATGCCACCCACCACCCCATGCTGTCATCTACCACCCTGTGCCACCACCACCAAGGAGCAGGGCCAGGGGTGCAAAGTTAGTGGTGCCCCTTTGCAGGCTGCACAGGTGCTGCCCAGCCGGTGGTTCCACAGGCTGCTGCCGGGTGGTGCGCAATTGGCCCAGCATGAAGCCCGTCAGCAGCCTGTGGAGCTGCAGTGCAACCAGCCATGGGAAAGTGGGGTGTGGTGGCGGTGCAGGGTGGTGGGTGGCAGTGGTAGTGCGCGGTAGTGGGTGCCAGCGGAGGCCACATGTGAGCCCCACCCCCCTGCATCCAGCTGCCACCACCAGAAGGGGTACATTTGTTAAAAAAGGTTGAAAACTCCTGCACTAGAGAAACGTGCTTGGGATGCAAAGGGAGTCCTAAGCTTTGGGAGGCAATTTGAGAAACCATCTCATTGAAAAATTCCCAATATCAGGGATTATTCCTTATACATGCCAGATGTTCATAAGGCAGAACAATTCTTCATTAAAAACCCCATCAAATTGGGCAGATGTTGCAGGGAATCCAAGAAATGCGAACATGCAGCTAGGGTTATTGTAAACAAAACATATATCAATTGCTGTGCAAACAACGCAATGAAACAGGAGTATCTCAACAACAAATAAAAACAAATCCAGCCAATGAGTAGAGAGTTTCAACTGTTTAAACAGTCCACTGCAAAAAATAGTTCTAAAACGAAAGAAATTTCATACTGATACCCACAAAAGAGAAACATAGATAAAACAAACCTTACTTAGCATGCCCAAATTTTCCCTTACATTAAAACCTTTAAACATTGGAACTGTTAATTAGATAACTGTCAACCTTTTTGGCAGGAAC